TCTATAACATTCTTAGAAGATGGAAAAATCGAATATATAAAAAACTTATTGTCGTCGTCCGTTTTGTACAGCATGGGCGACATGGGAGGCATAAAAATATATCGGTGCATAAGGAAATTAAAATATTAAACCTATGTAAATTTTAAACGACGGTAAACAATAATTATACTAACCTTTGGCCTACAAAATTGATCACACAAAATATTTTATGGCACGTCTATACTTTGAAAGTTTTAACAGGAAAGGAACATTCTCCGAATCACACATTCTAATATTGGCCACTAATCGGCACACTTCGATATTCCTCGTACAGCGCAGGACATTTTTGAAATACATTCAGTACGACTATTTACTCCGACCAAATACTCGCAAGAGTGCAAGAGACCCATCATAGGCAGAAATGAAATTACTGATTACTTCACTACAGATAAAAAGGCTGGATCGGTCTGATAAGTATTGTTAGATATGTACCATTTTTAAATATGACACCGGAACGTTTAACATAATGTTACAGCATCCGCTGGAACATGGAGAGGCCAGAAATACTCCACAAAATATAGTGGAAAAAATGACGGAAAAGCAAGAGAAGTGGAATATTCATCATCATCAAGATCGTGCCAGGAAAGAAGAAAAATAATGCGATTACCAACAAATGGGAGGAAGGGAAAAGTAAAAAAGAAGAAAACATGAGGACTGGAAGTCCCCACCCTCCCTATAGTAATGCTTACTTAGGCGGTTCCGGAGTGTTTTTAATAATGCGAGCAGCGAGCCCCACACTACAGACCGTAATGGGAAGTTATTCATAAGGCGAATTTTCACTACAAAGAAAAAATATATCTTAGGGTCTGATAAATTAATTACACTAAATTAACGTATAACACGAAATCCCCAATGCTCTGCTTTGTTAGTAACACAATCACTTGAGTCTTCTTATCAGGTTGGTGTTGTCAAGAAGCTAAATCGCTTCAACGTTCATATGTTGGTGGAGCCGTTGTTCATGACTCCTAAAGAATCAGTATCCATCTAAGGATCTCGAAGGAGGGCGATGTTTCTAATGTACCAAGGAGTATCGACAATAATCCACAGTACTTTGTTCTAGAATCTCTAGATTATTAGGATATTACTGTTACTAGCACAACCCCAGAGCTGAATGTCATAAGTCCAAACTGGTTAAGGACTTGTTTATACAAAAGAATTTTGTTATATGTTGATAGACTGGAATACCTTTCAAATAACTTGTACATTTTCTTGAATTTTACATCAAGTCTTTTTTTTTAAATGGACCTATCAGTGAAATTTGAAATTTTGCATCTAATGTCTAATGTAATCCCTAGATATTTTGCCTAGTTAGGATAAGGGATCTGGGCATTATCATTTTTATTAGTAATATTAATAAAGGCAGATTTGATTTCGTTTAGTTTAATAAGCTATCTTTTGGTGTAGGTATTTATTTGATTAACCCTCGCCGTACCAAAAGTGGGTCAGCGATGACACGAAATATAATTTTTCAGGAATATCTCGCGGCTCTGTGGCTTTTTTCCAGAGATATTCTGTGCATTCTCCCATTTTAAGACAAGAATGTTGCCTTTGGAAGGATTTTTTCCAAAAAAGCAATTTTTCCCCGGAAAATTGTCAATGGGTCACAAAAGACCCGGTTTTGGGAAACAGTGGTATACGCTAAAACACTTCAACTCGACAAGCCGTAGCAAGCTTTTTTTCCCGTTTTTTTTGCACGTGTTCAAAATTTCCTCGCTTTGGCCTTTAGTCTGCAATTGAACGTTACTCAGTCCAGTCTATTTTTTTGTGAATAAGCAATAGTGAAGTGCGATGTGGTCTAACAAAAAGGGTCTATCCGATAGGGACCTCTACTAAATCCTGACACATTATTCAGATGACGAGTTTGAAGATGAAATACCTTTGATGCAGGCATTTAGTGATTTCTTAGATGTTGAGGACGTAAAAGCTGAGAGATTTGAAGGCAGTGTTTCATCAGAAGAACATGAAGAAGATGAAGAAGTTCAATTACCGGATTCGCCAGAAGAAACAATGAACAATAGGCAGTCGTATGATGTAGATAATCGTACTTGGTATACTGTAGCGCATAAAACAGGAAAATCCAGATCATGCAATATCTTGCAAGAAAGCAAAGGTCTCACAGATACGAGTAAGAATGTGAATTCTATTACTGACTGTTTCAAGCTGTTCTTTTCTAAAGACTTGTTATATAAAATACACAAACAAAAAGGCTAATGAGTTCATAAAGACCTATAATGAAAGCCATGAAGACAAGATGGAGTCATGAATTGAGGTGGACACTACAGAAATGCTTGCTTTCTTAGGAATTTGTATCCTCAGTGGTAGATTTCGTAAATCAAGACTAAGGTTACGAGATTTATGGTCGACTACAAGCAATGCTTTCACAAGACCCATTTATCAAGCCACTTTGTCCAGAAACAGATTTTTGCTCATTCTACGTCACCTTCGTTTTGATGACCTATCTACAAGTGTTGAGAGAAAGAAGTAAGATAAGCTTGCTCCATTTCGTGAGATTACCGATATATTTTCCAATAATTGCAGAACATCTTACAAGCCTTCAGCTTTTGGGATTATTGATGAGCAGTTGGTAACTTTCCGAGGTCGTTATTCATTCAAAGTTTATATACCAAGTAAACCAGGCAAATATGGTGAAGAGGTATGGGCACTTTGTGATGCTGAACATTTCTATTGCTGTAATTTTGAAGTGTATTTAGGAAAATTGAATGGCATAGCAGAAAAGAATCAAGGTCCTCGAGTCGTAAAAACTTTAGTAAGCCACTGGTATGGTAGTGGACGAAATATAACGACTGATAATTTTTTCACCGACATCACCTTGGCAGAAGAACTTTTGTCCCAGAATCTAACAATCGTGGGTACAGTCCGCAAAACTCGCAAAGACTTGCCAAAGTGCTTATTGGATATTCAAAAAAGAGCAACCTATTCTTCCTAGTTCCTTTTTACACGGGCTCTTACCTTAGTGTCCTACGTTACCAAGCCCAAGAAATTTGTTGTACTGCTATCTTCAATGCATCATGAACACGAAATCGTCGGAGAAGATTTAAAATTTAAACATGATATAGTTACCTCATATAAGGGTACAAAAAGTGGTGTCGACTGCTTGGATAAAATTGTAAGTGAGTACAGTACCAAAAGGTGCACAAGAAGATGCCCCTGCACGTTTATTTCACAACTGACTTGACGTTGCTGCTTATAATGCATTCGTTGTCTGGACTCTGAAAAACCTAGAGCACTAATGGTAACATGAAAGTTAGAAGGAAGCTTTTTTTGGAAGAACTAGGTAATATGTTGACCCATGACCATATTGTACGACGGGCTGGAAATATTCAGTAGGACAATAGAGGGTTTTCTGCAAGTATATGTCATGCTATTAAAAGTGCGGGAGTTTCAATAAAAAAAACAACCAAAGCCCAGCGTGAATGCCAAGAGGAGTTGATGCTTCCAGTGCCGCGGCAACGATAATAAATATCCCACAAAATGTGACATCTGCAAAAAATTTATTTGTCTCCCACACTCAAATATCAAAATTAAGAAAACTAGTTTGTTCTTGTTGTTTAAGAGAATAAAATGATTCACCAAAATCAAAATAAATGTATTCTTATTATCATGAAAAAATAATATTTAGTTTGAAGTTTTTCTTTTGCAGTAACTTATATTTATACCTTTATCTTATGAATAAATGTTTATTTTGTTGTTTTTTTTTTGTAATAAAAGTAAATACAAGTAAATATAAAAACATGTTTTATTATGATTCTCAAGGTTTTGTATTCAAAACCACTAAAAAATTTTTGTATCTGGGTCAATTTTGACCCTGTTCTGGAATCAAAAATTAAAATTATTTTGGTACGGCGAGGGTTAAGTGATGTTTGTAGTTTATTTGCAGCCTCTTCATGATCTTACTGCTAGGAAACCAGAATCATCTGCAAATGTAGCAGCTATTGTATCTTGTTCTAGTTAGGGTATGTCACAAGTGTATAGCGAGTATAAAGTGGGTCCCAGGATGATTCCCTGTAGTAATGCTGCTTTGATTCCATTCAATTCATGTTTCATCTTGGTTAGTCTAAAATGTATGAATCCACTAACTCTGAGTATTCAGTTCATGTTTTAAGCGACCATGTTATACTTTATCAAAAGCTTGCGCAACATCAGGGAAGATCTTGAGCAGACCTCTTTGTTTTTTTACGCATTCTCAATCACATCTGAGATTATATGAACCTGATCTATAGTTGAGTGGTATTCTCTAAAGCCGAACCAATAATTTGGAATTAGTTTCCTTTCTTCATGGATGGTTTTCAGCCTTTTTATTGAGTATTTTTTCAAATAGTTTCGATAATATATGTAATAGAGAGATTGACCTATACCAGTATGATGACACTTTGAAGATTTTCCTTGTTTGGGAATCATACTTCAGCTACTTTCCACAACTTAATTATAAACATAAAGTTGTGTGCCCGCTTAAAAAAACATAGGTTAAAACAAAAAGTAACTACTACATTTTAGTAGTATATTTATGTGGTTTGATTTTAAAAGGGCCAATCTTATAGTTCTATAATTTAAGTAAAGAGCGCTCAAAGTTTTTATGAAAACTATCGAGTCGATTAATGTTAGAGTGTGTACACTTCAGTTTTCATATGTATAGTTACGCATCTTAACATTAGTCGACTCAATAGTTTTCATTAAAACTATAAACGTTCTTAAATTACGCAATTCTGAGATTAGCCCTTTTAGAACGGAGCCACAGATTTAACTTCGAAATATTTCTAAGAAACTGTATAATTCATAATTCTACACGTTTTTCTCCGGCGACATCTCGAGATTAACCCCGCCCCTTCAATCCTTAAATTAAGTCATTAAAAAGAGGAGGGGATAATTTCGAACCGCCTTACGGGTATTTTCAGGTCTGCCCTGAAATCTCTGCGAGTTTTCAGTTTCTACATTAACGTGGACTGTAATTGATTTACAAAAATCAGTAAACAAAACATTAATATTAATTTCCAGTGTCAAATACGCGTGCTAATGCTGCTTGGATTTAATTGAAATAATGTCATTTTGAAATCGTTTTCGACAGTTGCGTTTTGATAGGCTCTCGTTTTTGTATTATTTGTCGCATTGTGGATTAGTGAAAATTAGTCGTGGATGACAGATAGTTATGATGATTAGTTTGAAATTGGTGTAGTTAGTTTATAAAGTTTACGGTTTTAATTTATGGAGGTAACTATAAATAATATGCCATTTTATTGCTTAAATTAATATGACTGCTTACAAGTTATGTAGTGCATAATTAATAATTACAAGTGGTACAAAAGTTTTCATGAAATAAAATTTTATACATGAAAAAGATCATTCTAGAAATTATATAAAATAGTATTTTATAAATACCTGGACTTATTTAGTGTACAGGCTGGATTCAATTTGCGTATATAGAGGTTTCGTAAACTGCAAGACATGTCCTTTTATAATTTTTTTACCTTGGACACTCGACCATTTTACAATGTGAATCGTTTGATGGCTAATTTATTAATAAGTGATAATTTTTAAAGAAAATAATTAAAATTTCAAGTTTCAAAAGTTATTTGAAACAAAAACCTACAAGAACTTAAATATAAGTTAAATTCCAATTTTTGATGGTGGTGTAGCGTAGAGGGGTAGAGGGGGCAATTGCCCTTGGCGACACTTTACAAAGGGTGGCACATTTTAGAAAAAAATTTAATGAACTGCACTATTGCTGAACAATCTTTTTTTGTTGAAGATAAATATGATTTTGTTCAATAAAGAAACTATTTATTATTAAAATATTCAGTAATTTGAATACTTTTCATGTATTAAGAAAAATATTTGAGTGCCACTAAAAAATTACTTACTGTTATTAGTAAATTCATGGGCGTATGCAGGATGTTGCAGAGTAACATTATTTAAGTATATTATATACGAGTATATACACTCATTTTTATACAATATACAGAGGACTTGAAGCGAAAGACACAAATATAGAAGTGAGCACAAACAAAATTAACTTCATTTTAATGTTATGCCTTTATCAAGAAGAGGACTGAGATATATTTATTTATTCCACTATACATAATTAGTCCTAATAGTTATTGTGTATTAGCTATGATATATTTTTTTATACCCTTTACTCAATTTATTTCGCATAAATATGAACATACATTAAAATAATTAAATTTGATATAAAAGAAATCAATTTTATAAAGAAAAATCTGATGTGTCCAACACATGACGTTCCTGTCTAGTTATTATAGGCTTTTTCCGGTTATTTTGTACAACCTATTGTATCATCCCTGTAAATGTTTACAGGATGAACTAAATACATATATTTTTCATACACATCTTACAGGAAACATTATTTTATATATTAATTTCACTTTTCCTCAAATTTTTCTATTACGGTCCAATTTAAAGAAATCATGTATGGGACAAAAATTATAGAGAATGATATCGCAAAAAACTTTTATTTAAAGAATTTTCTTCTACAATCGTAAATAACAGATAGGTATTCCTTAAAGTAAAAAAACGACACCCTATAAAGTAACCCCAGATTCTTCGACTATGCCCAAAATTGAATCAGCTTACCGCAAGATGGATTAAAGATTAATTTTAAAATTTAGTGTTTTTCTCTGTATCCGTTTTTATATTAAAATTTATACTTTTCCTCAAATATCTCGAATACGGTCCATGTATAGGACATTAATTATAAAAAAAGACAAACTTTTATTTTAACAATTTTCTTAAAAAATCGAATTTGGCACATTTTGTCTTTCTTAAATACTGACCGTTTCAGGCAAATTATGTATGTGACAAAAATTATAGATGACATCAAACGCAACATTTATTTGAAGAATTTTCTTCTCTAAGCGTAAATAACAGATTTTTTCATAAAGTAGAAAAACGACCCCCTATAAAATACCCCTCAGATGGTCCGATTATACCCCAAATCTAATCAGCTTACCGCAAGATATTTTAAAGCCTAAGTTTAAAATTTGGTATTTTTCTCTTCATTCTTTAATGAGTTATCGAGTAAACAGACACACACAAAAATCCGTCGAAAACTCGAAGTCGAAAAAATCATGATTCCTATGCTTTGCTTATCTGTATACAGACAGGAAAGTAAAAAGTACGAACATCCATTTGCAATGTCTAAAACTATAAAACAGAACAACTTTAAAGTGAAACACAATCAATATACAGGGTGTCAATTTGAAAACCTAATTAAAGTGTAATATCTTACCTTCTGTAAATAATATGAAAAATCGAAAAGACATGTTAATATTATTTTTAAGGGCGACACTTTCAATTAATATTTTTTTCGTGGATTAACCCCCTAGAAGGGGCAGATGTTACCCTTATATTCTTAAATGGGAAAGGGGATCGAGTGGTACATCATTAAGAATTCAACAATATGACAATTCAATGCGTTACTTTTGATTTTAGCGCCCCCTAGCGGGATAAAAACTGTTACGTAATGTAAAGTGTGCCGCTTCATTTAATTAAATTGCATGGTTCGGTATAGGATTTAATGTGTGCCGTATTAATAGAAATTCAATTTATGTTTATATGACATGCAGATTATAAAATCGCCCATGCATTACCGTCTTGATGATGGTGGGTGAGGTTTTCCTCACCTGTAAGTCAAATGGCACAATCAATCATCTTTAAGTCGCCCCGGAGCGCCACGGCAAATAATAATAATAATAATAATAATAATATCCATCCCTTTTCCTGCACAAGCTCAGCTTTTGGGGTTAAAATTCACTCTTAAGGGGGTGAATTAGGGAGAGTATTATTATATTATTATTTGAAAGCTAATTTTATTAGTTATTTAATTCACAATATAACGAAACATAATTTAATGAAACATGAAGTTTAATAACAAAAAAATCATGCAGATAAAAATGTTAATCACAATCAACTAAAATAATATTATCATAACATTAAATCACTAATAAAATTACCTTTCAAATATAAAGTCGATATCGCCTGAAGGACAAAACTCACACCTTTGATCTAAAGGCAAGATTAAATCAGCTCTTTTCACCCCCACGTTTATACTTACTTATATAAAGTCTTTTGACGATATCTAAGAAGAAAAGTTCATAGGTGCAGTGTAGGGAGTCTTATCAAAAAGTAGCCAAGAAATATGGGTGCAATTTTAGTGTTAAGTATGCACCATGAAGAAAAATCCAAAATAATTTAAATAAAGAAAAGGCTTTTTAAGGAAACTATTCGAATCATTTACTTAAAGAGATAAATGAAAGCTCTCCAAGAATTATGTTAGTATGGATGAAAGAATATTTAATGAAGAAAAATAAGAGAGAATATCGGTTAAAGATTCTAAACCTAAAGGATGCATTTATAAATGTGAAAATAAAATGAGGGAATACATCCCCACAACACTAAGGGAAAAACAAACCAAAGAAAAATTGAGAAGGAAACTCAGAAATCGAGGTTCGATCCCTGGTTTGAACTCATTTCTTCTTTTCTTTTCAGCTTTTGTAATTTTGAATTGGTGTTGTTTTCACTTTGGGATTGTAGGGACGGAATTCTAATTTCTTACTGGGAATTGGAGGTTTTCATTTACACATTTCCAGATTCAATCTGCCAAAAATAATATGTTTTTAATATGGTACAAATAATTAACACACGAATTTGCTTTATATCTAGGTATACACTACACGATGTATTCCAACTTTGTTTATTAATATTTTAATATACAGGGTGTCCCGAAATTAGACGGTCATATTTTAACAGCATAATGTACATCCTAAAATGGAAGTAAAAGTTTATATAAACATAGGTACAAAAACGTTTCTTTTCCGAGTACAGGGTGTTAAAAGTGAAATCCTGATGACACTCTTTTGTAAATATTTTCTAAACGTTTAAAAATAATTAGGCGAAATTTGGTACGTATGCTTAACTTTTTACGCTCTCTTTAATGGACTAAATCCCAGTTTTTTCTCATCTTCATAGGTGGGTAAATTAGGGGGGGCTTAAGTTAAAATTGCCCTGTTTTTTTTGTTGAGAGTTTTTAACATTTTTGACTATAAAATTTAGAAACCCAATGTTTTCTTTATAATAAAGCTACTTGTGTTGCATCTCGCTAGGACGCACCGTTTTCAAGAAAAAAGCATTTGAAAATTTCATGATAAGTTAACAATAATTAGTAGGCCTGTGAAATCAGAAATTTTATTTTTTTTTTACTTTGGAAAACCGGTGACTAAAGAAATTTTAGAAAATATTTACAAAAATGTGTCATCAGCACTTCCCTTGTAACACCCTGTATCTCGAAAACGAAACTTTTTCGGACCTATGTTTATATGAACTTTTATTCCTATTTTAGGATGAGATTACACTTTTAAAATGTGACCGTCTAATTTCGGGACACCTGTATAGGAAATTTCAATGAAAACTATCCACCCTAAATAATTTTAAAGATGTTTTTATGAAAAAAATACAAAAATAAGTCAAATCATTTAAAGGCACCTGTTTGCTCATATATACTTGTTTTTTTCACTGTACTTTACATTTTTCTATTCTCCTCTAATATTCAATTCGTTCTTTCTTTTTCTTTCAATTTTTCTTTTTGTTTCCTTCTCTTCTATTTTTGTCCTCTCTTTATAAGATTTTTGATTTACTTTTGTATTGTTTTTATAAAAAGCTCACTTTTAAAATGATTTAGGATAGTGTTCATTAAAATTCCCTCTATACACTCATTAACGTAGAAATTCTCTGATTATTGATTATATTTTAAATAATAGTACACATTGATTATACTCCAAAGTACACCTGCGGTTTACTCCTCGGATTTTAACTATATACTTACCCATATTTTATGTGTATACTCATGTGATATTAAGACGTGCTACAGATATTGTACAAAAAATGTAACCTAGGTAAAGTCCGATTACATTCAGGTCTCATTAAGAATGGGACCCAGAACAATTAATGATTCTCTGATTAAAAATAAGACGGTTAAATGAAACGCTTTGATAAAATATTACTAGTTTCCGAAATACAGGGTTTCAAAAATTATTAATAGCTATAATTTTTTTATTTGTCAGTATAATTTTACTATTCTATAACACTCTATATAAGAGTGAAAACTGAGCCCATACAACTAAAGAAGAAGGCAAGAAAAAAATAAGAAATTTATGCTGACGCCGCCGTAACTTTAGACAGATTGCCAAAATAATAATTTACAGTTTTTTTTTATTTTATTAGTTGTTATGTAAACTTATAGATGGCGCAAAGATCTTCCAATAACCTTGCAACTTCAAGATGTTTTCCGTTGAAATCATCTATTTGTATACCTTAATCTTTCTCTTGAGTTCTGTACGTACGTGGAAGGTGTACGGTCCTGTTCTTCACTGGGAAGCTGCCTTACAAAAAGAAGATCATGGGAAAGTATCATCTCCCTTCCAGTAATCATCATAGATGGAGTATAATTGGTCAATTCATGTTCAGAACTTCGGTAGGCTAGTAGAAAGAGGAATTAAAGTGTCCAAGTCCTTTGGTTCTCAGAGATGAACATTTAAAGATACTGGTACATGATTCTATGGTGTTTTTCTACCATTCCGTCAAACTGTAGGTGAAGAGGCGTACTGCGTGTTTTCCTGATGTCTAACAATTTCATCAATTTTTGCCATAATTCGAATTAAAAATTTCGTCCTTGGTCAGAATGCAATTCCAGAGGGACTCCATGTCTCGCTATGACGTTCGCCATAAATTCTTCCGCTAGTGTCGTTACTTGTTCATTACAAATAGGTACTATTTCGGGCCACTTTAAAAAATAGTCCGTAACAACCATCAAGTATTTGTTTCCTCTTTCTGTTAAGGGAAGTGGTTTGAAGATATCTATGGCGATTCGTTCGAAAAGCTCTCCGGAAAGGTACTGTGCAATTTTACCTCTGATACTTGTTTAGGGCTCTTTCTTCCATTACATAGGTCACATTTCTTACACCAATCTTCTACATTCCGTCGGAAATTGACCCAATAAAATCTTTCCCGAACTCGTGCCAGTTTCCTTTTAGTACCAAATAGTCCTTCTGAACGGCTGCTATGAAGCTTCTCCAACACACCTCTGACATGTGATTTCGGCAGTACCACTTGGCGAACTACATGTACTCCTTTGGGACTCTCCCACTTCCGGTGCAATAGGCCATCGTGAAGGTACAGGAAATCCTACTGAGTCCAGTACCCTTTAATAGTTACCCTATTTCTGGCTATCTCTTGTCAAGTAGGTATGACTCTATTTTTAGGCCATTCTCGGACAACCTTCAAGTCATTGACTTTCTTTTGGCACTTTCTGAGGCTTTCAAGGGTGATTTATTTCATCTTCGTCGCCCGAAGACTAACTTTTTCAACCGGTTCCTCTCGTTCTTCGATCCTTTTACAGACCCGGCATTGTCGTTCCAAATAGGGTCGCCTCGAAAAAATATATGCGTTGTCATGGAGACGGTTTTTTCAATAATCAGGAAGTATCCTGATTATTGCTAGAAAGCCAGCTAGGTGTGGTGGGTGATCGGCATTTATTTCTTGTTGAACTTCGTGACGGGCTTCGGAAGCTTGATATATGTGACTTTCTGGCCTCATTCCCTGATTTTCAATTTATAAAACGATCCCTGCTTCTACAAGTTCTCTGAAGGTTCCCGATTCTTCCGCAATTGAAGCATCTACTGCTTTCATTTTGGCTGTTTCTTTGCATATTTTGCAGGATGTTTAAGATTTGTGAGACAGTCAGTTGTGGAATAGTATTAGTATTGGTCTCTTCATTTTCCTGGAATCTAATTCCTCTCTTTTGCGCGAGAAGATCTAGATATGAGTTTTGCTGCTTTATATTTCTGGGCTGTAATCAGTTTCTTCCTCATCGTCTTGTGGTATTATAGCCAAAGAACTATATCGTGTAGTCCATCAATGAATGTATACATGCCGATTTGTTCTTGAAAATCTTTGGGCGCCTGTAGATAGGCCAGATGAGTCAATCTATTTAAATCGGCCGCGAATTCCTGTAGACCCTCATTGTTTCTGACTACGAACCTTTAACTGCTTTGGAATACCTGTTTAAAATGCTGCTGGCCATACCTTGTCTCCAAGGCTTGGACGAGAGAGGAATAACTGGGTTCCCCTTTGGGAAGTAACTGTAAAACGGTTGATACCTCTCCTCGCAGCAAAACTATCAATGAAGTCGCCATCTCTTTTCAAGCCCAGCCATTGGCTCCAGCTGTAGCTTCAAATTGGAGGCGATACGTTTCCCATGTTGTCTGGACCGTCAAACGTAAGTGGCTCAATGGTCTTGCTAGTATGGTTTTGTGAAACTGGTTTGTTTATAAATGAGGATGAGGTAGTGATTTCAGCTTCACTGTTGCTTATCGAAACTAGGTTACGAATTCTTCTTTCTAACTCAACTAGTTTAGTTCTAATTTCCCTTTCTAACTCTACTCTAGCCTTTTCCTGTTGCACTAAATTAGTTTTTAAATTCTGTTCCTGCTGTTCTAAATTAATTTTTAAATTCTCTTGTTGTTGCTCTAAATTAGTTTTAAAATTCTGTTGCTGCTGTTCTAAATTAGTTTTTAAAAGTTCTTGTTGTTGCGCTAAAAGATCTACTCTTATGTTAAGCTGGCCAACACCTTGCTTGAAGGTTTCCTGGTTTTGTAATAAACCATCCATAATTTAAATCGCTTCTTTTCTACGCCTTTCCTCCTTCTTCTCTTCTTCGTCCTTTCTATAGCCTTTTCTTTTCCCCCTCTTTTTCCTTCCTATGTGTTTCCCTTCCCTCTTCGTCTTCTTTCCTGCGTCTTTCCTTTTTCTCGTCTTCTTCCTTCCTGCGCATTTCCTTTTCCTCCTCTTCTTCCTTCCTGTACCTTTCCTTTTCCTCTTCCATCTTTAAAAACTATGCTGGGGGACCTGAAGTATCAATGCCTGTTTCATACAAAGTGGATCTAGTATTTACCATTAAATATTATTTTGTATCCCACCGCTGTCACCAATGTTACGCTGGTTTTTGGTAACTCAATTTATTTCAAATCAACTTTTACAATTTAACCATACAACTGATAACATTATAAAACTGAAACTCTGACGTCAGAATCATCGACTTATATAGCTCTTTTGAACCTTCTAGAACCGTCCAGATGTTTTATTACACGGAATGGCATTTCTAGACATTTCTAGACTGTTCTTTCTTCTTTTTCTTTTACTCGTATTTTTACTCGTTTTTTACTTATGACGACCGCAGCAGACTGTAAGGTGAAAGGTAACAGTAGGTATTATTTGGCGTGGTGCTCGGGGACGACTTATAGATGATTGATGGTGAGGAAAACCCCACTTGCCATCATCGAAACGGTAATTCACTGTGATTTGCAACCCACGTCGTATTAATAAAAATTATGTTACAACTAATAACGGCACCCATCAAATTCTACAACGAATTAAAAATCACATGGTTTGGTCTGCGAACTGTCTTTAAACAACTAAAAGGCCCACAAATTAATACCCACCACTCGACACATTGGGCTACTGACAAGAAAATACAGTTTTATCATAAAATCACACTCCTTTGACATTCTACATACACATGTAAGTTAAACACACAACTTACTAGCATTATTGGATGTGCTATTTTTGATTCCTACATATTATACAGATGTGGGCGTAGAAAATAATTAATAAGTTAAAAATTTATAAACCATTAGGCACTAACGTTATCTCGAACTGAAAAGGTGTTAACTATTTTAAATAATTTTCGAATTAAATTAAAAAATATATATATAATATAAAAATAGTGAGATAGCAAGGTTATATATTCCAATACATTTTGTTATTGGCAAATATTGATAACGATGACAAGATGGCTTAATACCCAAAGCGCTTTGTTAATTATTAGCTAAGGGGTAATAGAAATTCACTTTACAAAAATAAACTTAATTAATAATGGTTGAACAACGAATAATGAATGCCCGAATAAATATTTCTCTTTCTTAATTTTAAAATCGTTTTGTCCACTCATCGACTTATTAGCCGAATATATTTCATCAGAAAAAACGAATTGTAATGAGTATCTAATAAAAACTGGAATCTAACACGTTAATAGTAAAAAAAATTGCACTGATAAATAAGTAAAATAAATATTAATAGAATACCTACATTCAATGGATAATTTTTTTTTAATAATAATTGAGACAGTTCTTTCTAAATCTGTTCCTCCAGTAAAATGTTAATTTTGATTAAAAAAAAACAAACAAGTAAAAAATTTTAAAAAATTCGTTCATATGTTACCTATGAACTAGAGGACTTTTGCTTGATTTGATTCACTCAAATATTGTCAATCTATTTCAGATCCCCTCTACGAACGATGCAATGTATTGACTAGACTAAATAAACGATAAAGATTTGAGGTGCCAAAATAAGTTTTGTGAGAACAATCGATCCAACTAAGACTTTCGGTTAAAATGTACACTTTTGATGGACATGTGTCGGAATTCAGTTCAGACCAGAACTACAATGGTCGAACCCATTGTTCCACAAATTCCCGGCAGTTTTCTGTCACCAGTCTATTGAGACTGGGACACAAAAGAAGACATTCTGGTTCGGACCCGGATCTCGATTCCGCTGAAGGTGAGTTACTTCCTTTATTGTTGTTTTTTATTATTATTGAATTTTTGATTGTTTGAGGAACGGGAAGTTTAATTTGATTCGAATGTCAAGGCTGAGAATATTCGGGACATGGTTGTCACTTGTTGCTAAGCGTTTCGAAGATTTGAAAACGTATTTTACTAATTTTGATTTATAAAATGAAACATTTCAATACCAACAGTATTTTGACATTTTATATGTTCTGTAACTACTTACGAAGGATCAAATATTTTCTAACAGAGTGACGCAATGACTATTTTGACCGAGATTTTGACATTAGTAGGTAATAAAACAATATGAAGAAATGTTATCGTTTATTATTTAAGTATAAATACTAATAATAATTCTGGATGAAAAGCTCCAGTTTTTAAGTTTGGTTCCGTAGTCCTATAAAACTCTGGACTTGGTCCACAACTTTTTGAATATTGATCCAGATGGTTGCCGACTATTAAAAAAAAATCTGATGTGTCCAACACATGACTTTCCTATCTAGTTATTATAGGCTTTTTCCGGTTATTTTGTACAACCCATTGCAGCACCTCTATAAATGTTTAGGGGATAAACTAAATATATACATTTTCCACATACATTTACCTCGAAACATTTTTCTATAGATATTCATTGAAAAAATAAATAAATACTGAAAAATTTAAATTTAGCACTTTTCCTACAATTTTTCCATTACGGTCCATTTTAGAAAAATCATGTATGAACAAAAATTATAAAGATCGATATCGCAAACAACTTTTAGTTCAACAATTTTCATAAAAATCAGAATTTTGCACATTTTGGCAAATTTCTCGAATACGGACCATTTCAGGAAATTTTGATATAATGCAGATATTATAGATAATATTATTAGAAGTAACTTTTATTTGAACAATTTTCTTCTCCAAACATAAATAACAGATATATTCCACCAGATGTTCCGACTTTGTCCAAAATCATAATCATTTCACGTCAGGCCGAAATAAAACTTAAGCTTAAAATTTAATGTTTTTTTCTTTATCCGTTTTTGAGTTTTCTTCAAATTTCGAAATTTACACATTTTCTCAGATGTCTCGAATAGGGTCCATTTTAGAGAAATTATGTACATATAGGATAAAAATTATAGAGAATTATATTACAAACAACTTTTATTTAAACAATTTTTATAAAAAAATATTTTTTTTACATTTTGTCAAATTTCTCAAATACGGACCATTTTAGGAAAATTTTGTATGGAACAAAAATTATAGATAATATTAGAATTTTCTTTTCCAAACGTAAATAACAGATATATTACATAAAATATAAAAATGACCACCTATAAAGTACCCCCCCAGATGCTCCGACACTGCCCAAAATGTAGCAGTTCATTGGACGCTGGAATAAAGCTTAAGTTTAAAATTTGGCGTTTTTCTGTGTATCGGTTCATGAGTTATGGTGGATACAGACACACACACACACACACACACACACACACACAGACACACACAGACACACACAGACACACACAGACACACACAGACACACACACACACACACACACACACACACACACACACACACACACACACACACATACACACACACACAGACACACACACACACACACACACACACACACACACACACACACACACACACACACACACACACACAAACACACACACACAAACACACACACACAAAACACAAACACACACACACACACAAAACACAAACACACACACACAAACACACACACAAAACACAAACACACACAGACAGACATCATCGCAAAAATAGTCAAAACGGATTCAGGGGACCTCAAAACGTAAAAATCCGTCGAAAACTCGAGGTCGCAAAAAATCAGGATTCCTATACTTTCCTTATATCTGTATACAGATAGGAAAGTAATAATTTGTCATAGGACCGGTATTTTCATCTACAGAAAAGTAATGTATACTCACGAATAAATGTTATCTGGAAGATAACAGAAAATACCTTCCTTTCACCTTCAAATAACCATATCTACCAGTTAAAATCCTTTTATCTCCAGAATAGCGGATAGTTATTTTATCTAACAGATAAAAATTAGGTGCATGCGCAAGCTATAGAAATTAAAGGTATGTTATACTTACAGTGCCGGCCACTAAACGTTTTCCAATACGCTTTGCACAAGTCAATGTGAAAACTACAGAGAATTAGCATTAATTTAAGCAGGGTACGAATAATATCAGCTTTGCTAGTTTATAGGGCTTCACCGCATTGTAACGTTAACCGAGCTGTATAAACTGACAACGCTAATATTATTCATTTCCTACTCGCGCTAATGCTAATTCTCTGAAGTTAAATAAATATTAAATTAAATAATAAACACACATATTGTCGACACTTGCTCTTACTACTTTTTACCTTTGTCGATGATGCGATAGTTCAGTTCGTCTATATCGGTTTATCGCGGCGAGGTAGAGACAGATAATGAATTAAATTACTATATTGTGATACAGAGTTAGATCATAATATTTTTTAGTACTTACGTACATAATTACTAGACGAAGTATGAAAAGATAGAACAGATCACATCATAATAAATGACCTTAAAAACGAAGAAAAAGATGTAGACAGTGCCAGTCATACTATTTATATGTGTAAAAAATTTAATATTTATGTGTATTACTGTTTTGATATTTTTTATTCATAATAACTTTCAAAGCAAGATGAAATTTAATTTTTATAATTTCATCTGTTTTGTGTTCATTTTAATTTTAATTTAAAATGTAATTTTTTTGATAATTTGTTAATAGGTGTTTAAATCAATTATGTAAAAAGTTCATGGATTCCATCGTTGGCGCATCATTACTTTTAAGGAACACCCAATATAAATTAGTTTATATTTTTTAAAACACTTTTTTTTTAAATGCTTCCTAAAAGATTTTAGAAAAATAATTACAAAACACAAGCTTTTTTTATTATATTTTCTAGTCTTAAATAGGTTAGTCCCGCCTTCAGGCAAACACAGCTAGATCAATTATTATGAGGCAGTTTGTTTATGGTAATCAAGCTGCCATGAAAATAACAAACTGAATAAATTTTGGAGATTCTATATAGGAATTTGTTGAGTTAAGAATGAGTGATATTAAACTTGAGCATTGCAGTGATTTTCTAATTTCCATATTTATAAACCTTACTTGACCTTAAACGAAAATCGAAGTTCAGTTATACAGTGTCTCCACGGATGGAAATTTTTCGAAAAAAAGTAATTTGCATGTCGCACATAGACGTAGTGTTTTGGGAGGGTCTATTTAGATTTTCAATATATACAGGGTATTCAAAAAACCGTTCGATATGTTTTCTTATAGATTAAAATAGTAGCTCAGTTTGGAGAAACAGCTTCATTAGTATTTGAAACAACGACGAAAAACTACTAGACATTCATTCATAATTTAAGCCCTTATTTATTGCAATCATTCCATTGTATTTTATATTACGCAGACAGAGCTGTCGCATCGGCTGCCACATTAGATAAAACGAGACGGCTGCTAATTTGAGTGGAAATGTTTTTGTGCGAGTTTGTTTATCTGAGGAGCGAGCATGCGTTTTATGAATGAATCAGTACATACGTCTACGTGGCTTGCTTTACATTCTTGTCACACTTCAAAATGAGTTGTGAACTTTCCTGGAAATCATCTTCAACTATGATATACGTTATTTATAGTTAATAGTCGTTAAGAATGAAAATATGCTTCCTTAATATAATTTGAAAGGCTTTTATACATTTTAGAGCCTTATGTTAAGTAAATACCTAATTATAACCACAAAAAATCCTTGTAACAAAACTCTCACATACTCTTTCATAATAATTTGACAACTACGTGACTAACAGTACTCCAAAAGAAACATCTAGTGTGTTTGATACAAAATTATTAATTTTGACAGATTCGATATGAAACTTTTGACCCAACCTAGTTTTTTCCAGTGATTGAATTAGAATGATTTATTTTAATTAATAGAATTTTATTTTCTTATACCAATGTGGATTGTTCGAGCAAAACTTTACAGCCGATTTCAGATATCTTGATGTTTGGTATCACCGCTGTCTTTGTTTTTAATACCTCGAATTCCAACAAGTCTAGGACACATCCAAAACACAAATACACATTAACGACATTATAAATTTTCTTTGCTCGAAACCCATTAAAATTAAAAGGTACGACCATAAAACCGAAAATTAAACTCGCATGAACGTGCGTAAAAAAATTGTAAAACGCCAATAAAAAGACTAAAATTAACACGTTTAATGTCGGCATCAATTTTAAGGTTATACGGGCATCCGCGATGTGCAGTTGTTTTTGTATCTCAACTCAAGCGGTGAGAGTTGACAGGCCATGATGCAGCGTGTTTGTATTTTTTGGGCTGATATATAGATCTGGGCGGCGTCGGAAATTGATATTTCAAACAAATCATAGAGATAGATGGGGAAAGATTAGCCTTGTTTGTCAACCTTGGATGGAAAAGGGTGCTTTTCTTGTGGATGTTTTTTTTTCTTTTGAAATTAGGGCCATAAAATATTAGTTTTAGTTTCCGAAATAGACTGGAATAAAATATTGAATTTTAGCTTGAATGACGATTCAGAGACTCTCGCCCATCCTTGCCGTTGCAAATATTGTCGCGAAATAGAATGTGTACATTGTGGTTTTGAATGGTAATAAAGAGGAGCTCGAACAGGTCAGTTTTTATTCCAGAAGGAACACCTTTTTTTAAAGAATAAACACAACTGGGACACACGTCATTTTTCGCTACCTCCCTTCCTCTAAACAAACAAAATGAAATAGGGAACCCAAGTAACAATTTGATATTTTATAGAAGCCGAAAGAATGTTTATGAAACAAAATTTATTAAACAGCATATTAGCTAAGAACATTGCCTGAACATTCTTACAGCAGTACCTAATAAATGCAAAATGGGCGCAGTCTTATTTAAGGCCTGTTTAATGCAGTTACCGGATAGTTACTTAC